ATAAAAGTAATGGAAATATTTTTAAAGGAACGAAACATAGTCGCGTTAATGTGAATTGAGCAAGAGTTCTAGATGATAGAATATTTCTAATTTAAATTATAAAAAATTTATTGTACAATATTATTTAAACTATGTTATGAAATTTTATTTATAATTCTGGAGATTATTGAGCATTTTAAGCGCTAAAAATGGCACGAGATTCTCGCAACACTTCGTGCAGAGGTTCGGAAAAATAAAGTTCTACGTAACCCGCTCGTTCAATTATCGACATTGTAGGTGACGTTGACTCAAGATGCAAATGCCGGTACACGGGACTCGTGATCACGGCATCGATTAACGAGGTAGCTCGCGCGCGGCAACGTATTCCTGGATACGTCACGAGAGACGAGAACCATCTAGGGTCTTATATATGTCGAAATCGTTAAAGAATTGATGAGAATATACAACGAAGCGTTTATCCCATTCATGATTATTTATGTGATAAGCGCTTCCTACGATAGAAATGTGTCGCTCATTCTTGGATCCTACACTTATCTAACACTTATCACAGCGTTCAGACTTTCTACCATTTTACGAGTTTTAATTAGACATCTGCATTTCGAAATTTCTATTATTTCACACTGTAATTATTTTAATTATTTGACAAAATATTTGTAAATTAAGAAATTAATATTAGCAATGATTAAAATCTATTTTATTATACTGAAAGATTAAACACTTAATCTATATTTTCCTTATCGCTCGCTTAATCCGGAAGATTGATAAGTCACGAGAACGCGTCTTTCTTGCATATCTTATATCTAGTTACGTGCTAATAGCCAGCGGCGGCGCCGTCACAGATTTTTCGGAAAGTTCGAAAGCAGGAAGCGCCTATTCCGGGATTTCAATTCGTCCAGCACGAAATTTTCCTCTCATTCCACGGGCTGTAACAGCTCGCGTTCCTTCCCGTCGCGACCTAGGGCGAAAAAAGGAACAAGAGGTGCAGTGTACTTCGGCCGATGGTAATCACTTCCTTGTCCGCGCACGGAGCGCCCGTAAGAATCCAACCTGATTTGCGATTTGATTATGTCGTTCGCGTATCCATTATAATTTCAAAGTAGTGTGCGGCTACATTGAAATGGGAAACGGCAGGCTGTACTGCAGCAAGACACGCGTCTCGTTTTTTTTCTCCATTAATATCAGCGCGTCGTCCGTTCGTCCAGCATGTGTTCCCATGAATATCACACGAGAGAAATGTACGCGCTACAAATTCCTTCATTCTGTGTTACCTGATGACACAGCGTGGATTTTATCATAAATTTCAAATTATAATATCGAATGATTTATCGCGCATTAAGCAATCGTCAAGCATTTGCCAAGCATAGATCAAGATTAAAATTTTTTTTTAATTTAGTGTCGAGTTGATGAAGTATATATTAATTTATCCAATCATTTATTACGTAAAAGTCTTAATCTTACCTAAATAAGAGTGTTCAATTTGTTTATAGGCCTAGAAAGCTTCTCAAACATGCATATTTCAGACATGAGAAATTAAAGTTGCCAAGTTATACCGTTTTGTAGGTTGTTTTCGACATCCGTAATAGATTCGCGTTGCATAACATTTTCTACATAATAATTATAGATATATAGATATACGTGTATATTCAGTGTAATTATTTGCACTAATTATACTCGAAAAAATGTTTAGCAATTAACATTTATAACTAAAAAATCAACGGAATAGAAGTTTATATAGCAAGTATTACCGAGGAAAGTGCCGAACAAAGAAAGTAAAAGCCTATTAACTCGAATCTATACATAGAAAAAGCCGCTTCCTTTAGTGACGCGTAAATTAATTTTCATTCTTGTAAAATCCGCTTTTTAATGCCACCACATTAGCTACGCGTGAACTGTAATTTTCTAATCATTCTCTCACTCCAATCATTACGCTGTTTTTATTATACAAGAACGTTCATTTTCTAAAGACTGATATTAATTACGCTACATCGCAAATGACGCTTTGTCAACCGTTTTATTCTTCACGGGATAATGTTCTGTTAAACGCGTATCTCGTAAATTCCAGTTAATTAAAAGTCCCGATAGATAAAATAATCGTCGCGTACCGTAAAGCGGCAAAAATCGAAAAGTTCACCGGCTCTCATCAAGTTTCAACGATCACAATGTTTTTTTTCTACGCGAAGTGAGCGCGATGGTAAAGCGTCATCTCCGGTTGTGTTGTAAATAATGTCGCTAGCACAATGTTGAGAGTGCGACGATGCCGCACGCGAGGAAGCGGAGTTCCCGCATTGGTGTCATCTCTATTGTCGCCGGGTAGAATGTCATTGAAAAATGGGGCCATGTAGTTAGTAAATTGATACTTTGTAATGAGTGACGTGTGCGTGAATCTCTCATGAAGAACGGATGCGTTCTTGTCATAATATATAATTATTTATACAAAACAACTAGATATTTCTTTTTCTTTAGATCGATTTTGCTAATTTTTAAACGCTTTTAGTAAAACGATTTTAATCTCTTCGCAGTGTTTAGTAAGTAAAAAGTTTTTTGACTAACAATTCTTATTAATGTCTTAATATTACTGAAATTGATCATTTATTTGTAAAAATAATCAAACTATTCATACACGGTTGCACAATGCGATATAGTTTTGCAATGCGTTCTCGTAGAAGTAAAATCAATTTCAATATTCTTTGTATTTTTTCGGACCTGTCAATGCATTGTCGAGAGTAATGGCCAAGCAAAATGCATTATTACTCAAGAATTACATTACGCACGAAGCGCACAATCTGTGTGCCTTTCGTCATCCGGAGTTGATTGTTCTATTATGCAGAAAGCGCTCGCGGTTTATGTCGTTAGAAAGTAGAGTGCACCGTGCGTGTTTAAGGAAGACCGATTGCCGTGTCATCGTGCAACACGCTTCCACGCTGAATTCAATGCAGAATGCTTCTGCCGTAATAAGTGTCGCGAATGAAATCGGGAGTGAATGCATGGACCACATTAGCTAATTAATTGACATTTCTATGCGCGATTTGACTCGAAAGGACCAATGCAAAAGTAAATTTTACGTTTCATTACTGCTTGGTACATGTCGTTATATTTTCCTGTCACTAATGCCGTGTAAATTGTGTGCTTTCGACTATTCTCACTTATAATTCCACACATTTTATAATCTTGCGAAAAAATATAATTTCACAGAGTGTTCTACAAAGCACGAATAATATATTTTTATCATTTCATTAATAAGTCAGCTTATTATGTACGTGAAAACTGGTATCAAAATAACTATTATTAATTTTATAGAAAATATTTTTAGTAATATTCAATTGCAAGTATATAAATTTTCCTTTGCGTGTCAAAGGTGTTGTATCTTACGATCTAAGCGGAAGGCAACCAAGACTCGCGATCGCGATACGCGGCACGATAAATTACGAGAATCTCGCGGAATCGCACCAACAAATTGCCGGTCGGTGCCTCATTACATTGCGGCGAGCAGTAATTGGCGTGGTGAAATACCGCCGACAGACCGCGATTTAACAAGTCCATTCGGCTAATTTCTTTCGATACGATCCGAAAATCGGATCGCGCCGCGGGCGCGACTCAATAAATCCTGAATGTGCGTTGAAAAAAGCATCGGTCTTCATCGCGAAAATAAATGTACGCGTTCGTAGAACTAATCAGAAATGTGTTACGCGCGATTTTCTTATTGCAGTCGTTACTATCCCGGCATTACGTAAATAAATAAATAAATAAATATATATATATATATATATATATATACATATGTCTGATTAAAAGTGATTACATTGATATAATTCATTTATTACATTGATTATCTACGCGCACCTGAGATTCATATTTGGCGATAAAAAAGACGAGAATGTCGGAAGCGTCGTCGGCCGTACGCCGTTGTGTGTCTCAGACGTCGGTTGACAAGCGGAGCCGAGGGAATGAGCGTACGAGGGTCTTAACTTTATACACGCTGCGCGCAAGGATCTCTGGAGACGCACTAAACCCTCGGCAAGCGTCTACCACTTGTCATCGACGTAATTGACTTTCTCTCCCGTTGCGGATGAAAGAAACCCGGCGAGATCACCCATCAGCGAAGATCAAGCTAATTAAGGAAGTCCAATGTCCGCCAAGTAATTAAAAACGACCTACTTAAACGTCCCGGAACAATGCACGATACATATTTTTCTTTTCCTTCTCGCAACGTGTTTTCGAACGGGTCCCACACCGTGCAACCAATAATTTGCGAACGACACTTGGGTATAATTTAACATTTAAACGAGGGTCCATAAAAAGCGGCGGATACGATCAAATTTGTTTCGAGGACAAACAAGAGCAGCCGGTTTCGCAAACAAAATAATCGTTAATTCCGATTCGCATTCCGCACGAATGTTTGCTTTGTGATACTAAAATGCATAATTTTTACGAGGATTGTCAGTTTATTTATACGTTTATTTATATAGAAATAACTTCTCGCAGGGTGTCGCACCATAATTTGGATATCGTTGCAGGGGAGCTTGTTTGCAAAAATAAAAGTTGAATTCCAACGTATTCTTAATTCGATAATAAATGAAAGCATAAATTGTCGACTTACACGATACGCACGATGTCTCTGCAGTTACCGATATCACATAATCTATGTGACGTTCTCAAGGTGTTCCACGAAACTCCTTGGAAATCGCGATTCAATGCGCAGCGAGCGATCACCGTCGCACACAAATGATGCATATGATCGGTTCGATGATCTACGCGTACGATCGAGGGTGGTCATTGAGGGATCGCAACATATTTCACCGAGTTCCGTTATCGACCATCAAAGTCGTTCGCCTACAATTCTTCGACATGCGTTTGTCGCGAAAAATATATCGCTCTTTGCTCACGGTGCATAATCGAATCATAAATATCGGTACCCGCAATTTAACCGCGCTGCGCACGTATATCACACACGCCTACGATGGAACTACTTTTATTACAAAGATCCGTTTTCTTTGTTTCAGATGGAACGCCGGTTTTCGAGGACGCACACGAGGTAAGAAAGATTTTCGAATAATGAAACTAAAAACAATATCTCGTACGGTTGTGCCTTGCCGTGACACTACTCGAATGCCCAAAGTCTGATTCAAGTCGGAGATCGCGTCGCATCATGTGAGGTCGAGTGATTGCGTACGTAGCCGTCTGCATATTTTACACGGATTATCGACAGATTCATGCAGATATCATCTCGTTTTCAACGAAATACCCCGTGTTCTTTCGTATTAGTTTATATTCAGATAATTATCAGCGTGATTATTAAAATCTTCACGCCAATCATTGTTTGACCCACTTAAGTGAAGGTGAGATTGTTTGATAAATTTAATCTATCGCAAAAAATATCATTGTATCCAGTAGCGTAGACAGAAATGAATTTTAGTCAACAAAACATAATGTTAAAATAAGAAATAATCTAATGATTATGTTACATTTATTTGATAATTTTTAAATATTTGTTTCACTTCTTACTTTCGTATAAGAAATGTAAAAGGCTTTAAATTACAGACACTTAAAGGATACAAATACATTCTTGCGTTCTTTCTAACTACGTTTTGCTCTTGATATTTTTATTCCTAACTCTATCGACAACTGCACTTGTCGCTATAAATGCAAATAGAATATGTTCCTGCTTGGATGTCCATAAACACTGCACCGTGTACACTCGGGTGCTTACAGATGACATATCATAAATCCGCTGTACAATTATTCTAATTAGAGATCGTATTGACAGCACGTTGTAAATTACATTCGTGACAGCACAAACGAGCAGTCATCAATAAACTATAATACCGTAACACATGCTAATTGACAGTGACGCGTCAAAAAAGTGCGTGGGCTAACGCTTTTTTTTTAATACAGTAAATATATGATGTATGATTTTTTCCACGTTTAAACACAGATTTAACAAATATCTCTATTCAAATTGCATTTATCTGTATATTATTTTTATGATAGCCATTAATTCCTGTCCAAATATATGTATATAGAAAATTTTACATTACACTTATCCCGCGTAATCGTTTCCAAGAACTAATAGAATCAAGCGAAACAAGTTGAAAAGTATTTAGCGATAACGATCTTAATGCTTTGCAGTACAACTTTCTAGTACACTAATTTTTCAATAACTAATCCCGCTTAAGCTTCTTCAGTTTCTTTAACGGAAAAGAAATGCGACAGGCTTTAACCGATAATCAAAGAAGGCATTATAAAATTACAAGCTTGTATTTGACGTTCGATCAACCGATCGACGATGCGGATTTCGCCCCGGGATTTCTGCGGTGCCACACTTTCGCGTGTCACAACATATGCGCTTCGGTAATAAAGCTTAAGTTTTCATCGCGATTCGCGTTACTTTAAGAACGACGGATCATCCATCGTATGGCCTACGGCAGCTCATACTGATTGCCCCTAATTCACATATAATTCATAGTAACGGACGAAGATAGAGGCGCTGCGGCTAATTGGATAGTGCATGCACACCGAGATAATATAATATAATAATCTTCAGGTGTATCGCGCGCGCGCGCGTGTATGCATTTTGCCCATACTGCATTGCGAGACTAATTTACGTCCTGTAATAGCGTAATAATAGCGTGTCCTTCTTTTCCTCTCTCTTTGTTGTACAAAGTATTGAGCCTTTCATGCTGCTTCAAATCCTACTTGAATATCACGGACAACAAAGCCGAGGTAAATGGCAAAAGAAATAATACGTTTGTAAGATCAAGAAAGCAACTATAGAAACTTTCCGCTTTAAACATGTACACTCTTTTATCAATAATATTACAATTCCTGAACGTAACACCTTTGAGATTGTACCCATGTATGTAATGTATGCAAATCGCGGAACTAATTACGTTCCATAATCAATAATGGATAAGCTAGAAAAGATTAGGATAAAATTGGCGCGTTGCAACAATAAATAATCATTAGTCGTAAACGCACTATTCTATAGTATCAATTTATGGAAATATACCGTGTAAAGTATTTTGTACTGGTTCAGCATTAATATTAATTTGTTCTAGCCTATCCATTTTAAGCAATGGATCTATGTTATAATTTTTCACGTTTATATGTTCTCTTAATCTGAATATATTTTAATCTTTACAACATGAAAGTAGTTTGTCTACTTACTTTACTACAATTATTCTTAATTGCTATTTCTTAACCCGTTCATTGTCTTTCTAATCGGTCTTTTTCTTCTTAATTTTTTCTAATATTTTGTATATATATATTATATATATTTGATGTAAGTTTCACAGATTTATTATCTCAAGAATAAATAATAGGAGAAATAATTTGACTCACCATTGGATGCGCAGCGGAGTTGTAGTACATATATGTTGATCTGTAACAGACAAATATACCCAAAACATTAATATTTCAAAGATAATGATTAAAATTCTATTTTTAATAATGAAAGAATAATTTATTCGACAGAATATTCTAACAGTATATTTTATATGTGCATTATATTACATACTAATGCCAAGTAACTATAACAGAGTTAAACAATTAATATATCTCGTAAATAATTGATAAGCTACTCACCCTCTTGGTTGCTCCGCAGATGCCCGATGCCCCCTGGGCCTCCTCCTCCTCTCAGTTTCTTCGTGGCACTCACAAAACAAAACTCATCTGCGAAAATACGATAGTCACGCGATATTTAACAACACGACGCGTCACGTCGCAATTTTTATTGCGATATTATAACAATCGCGCGACAGTTTGAGCGACATATAATTCCGACATTAATCGTACGCGACGCACATACTTTCTCTCATTGAGGTCAAGATGTTGGGGATAATGAATACATTATCCCTTCACAACGCATCATATGTGCGCTCGCCACACAAGAATCATTATTGACTCGCGGCAATGCTATATTTTGAATACGACTTCCCTTTCACAATAAATCTTCCTGATACCGAGCCTTCCCATTACATCAAGGTGTAGCCATGGGGGAGATTAAACTTATTTTATTTTGTTAAAAAAAATACGATCACACGGAACGATTTTTTCGTTATTCATGATGTTCGAATCAAGCAACGGCGGTGAAGAGAAATCGAAAATTGCGCAGCCACAGCCACCCGTCGCGACTATGCTAAAACTAAATTACTTTTATAAGCTTTCCGTGCTTTCCGTATATGAAAATAAATATATTTTTACATTTTGAAGCATTTATGGCATTATATTTTTGTATTATAATATGAATAAATATGCAAATTAAAATAAGAGGCATATATCCGCGGAATAAAATGTTCAAATTATTAACTAAAGGAGTTGATTAGTTAGACGAATGGTTGATCGTAAAGAATAATTCGCAAAATATTTGTTGCGATCGCGATTTGGAACGTAATAAGAAGACGATACGGAGCGACTTTCTCCGTGACTTGTCCGTTCGAGCGACACTGTGGAAATGATAGGAATGTAAATAGTGAGCAACGACCGCGCGCGTACGTTAGGTATTTACATAGATCACACAAATCAAAACAAACGCCAAGGCTGAGTCGAAATATTTTGTACACATTATCAAATAATAACTTATACGTTACACGTAAATATATTTTTCGTTCAATTAGAAAAGTTTTTGAACTATTTTCAGCACTTCGCACTTTCCGTCTATGAAAAATAATGCTGATGTTTTAGAACACGATTGAGAAGCGTTTTATTATCTCATATTATAATATAAAAATGAATAAGTTAAAACAGGTTAAAATTAAAAATAACTATTTACGAAAAAGACATTTAAAAATGTGATTACCGCTGTAACGATTTTTCACGCGATAAACTAATAAATCTCGCGAAACATGCGCTTTAATAAATTATCAAGATCGAAATTTCTTTCAATGTACGCGACTGATATTAATAATAAGATAATTTGTAAATCCGATCTTCCTCAAAGTAGATATCGCTCCGATTTCTATTTTAAACAAATAAATCCGACAAAAAATCTGTTAGCTAATGTATTTGTAATTAACTTATAATACATATTCTCAATATGTCATAATTACGTTTGGAAAATTATAACGCGACGACACAAAGCGATTCTCTACGCTACTTTCCTTCTCGAGCGTCGACGTGAGAATGAGAGCAAGGTGATAATACGAGTAGACAACAGCACACACATACCGTGTCGCAGATCACAAACAAACACGAGCGCCGCAAATCAGCATCGAAATTGATAATCGAACATACTCAATGCAAGATTATTATTATTCTCATTATTCTTAAGTCAAGATTATTATTATTTGGATTATTACCAGACATTATTAAAATTTATCGTCGACTTATTTTTTATTTATTATCAATTTTGTTTTCAAATATTCAATTTTTTAGCTAAATACTTTTTTGCTTCCTATTATTGTTACTAATATTTTGAATAATCAATTATTATTGCAGTGCGTGGTGCTAAAAATGAAATATTCAAATCGAAATTTAGAATTCAATCATCGCTCGTGATGCAATATTGCAAAAGCAGCGATTTAATTTCTCGTTATAAAGATGGTAGCGATGCTTAATTACATTAATTCAAACAAGCGAATAATTATACTGAAGTGATTAACCGAGACACTTCATTTTGTTCCTGATGCGATCAAAACTTCATGCACAGATCTCGTCCGCAAAGTCTATCGCTCATTTCTCATTACGAGCCGCGATGAGGCATCCATCATATTCATTCGTCGGTGCATGTTGAATTTATTGTCTACACGTACTTGTAACATTCCGAATGGCCATAGGCTACCACGATCCTTACTTGTCAGACCATTTTTCGCGGGCCAGTGATTTATAGTCGTTTTGTTGCAAAATCTTGTGTATTTGTTCTTCCTAGTCAAATGGTGTTGCGTGAAACACCGATAACACATCTGCCATTATTGAATACGACTGCTTGTGTCACCATTCGTGAATTTAGAATCGACGAATGAAGAAACGATTGTTTGTTATCAATAATTCAAAATTTTCGCCAGCATATTCTATTTTAATGTACACATCAAAATTGTACGCGATATGTATAAAAGAAATGTCGATTTACGATATAGCCAGATTCATTTGCGAGATCAATATCGCGTTTATAAAAATAACTCCGATACAGGAGCGAGATATTATACTAAAGCCGAGCAGACAGCTGCAGTTATGCTGAACGAGTGCTGGTCTGACATATTCGTAACAATGCTAGGCGTGTCGCCGATGTGTTGCAACTGATTTCAACGTCCATCTATGCGCTTCGTCCGTATTATTATCTGCGACGCGTGAGCATACGCGTACGCACGTGCGGTACAATTGAACCTCCGCTGTGTGTAGACGGGTACACCAACGTACGGGTCATGTATGACGTACGTATGATAACTAGTCTTGCACAGGCGGTCGCTGGCACGAAGATGCCTTAAATGTCAAGGCGAAGACACGGTGGGTCGCTCGAACGCGCAGGCCGGCTGTCTTCGGCCTGCACGCTCGGCTGATGCCGCTCCGCGAAAGAAACTGTTGCACCTCGCACTCATTGAAAACCTTTCCTGTCAGGCTTGAATAAGCTCCAATCACCGCCGCCGCATTGTGGATAGTAAGAAATTATTCATCATTGAATAGGAAAGAATAGGCATAGAAAGTGTTTTATTAGTGGCCATCTATAATTTATTTTTTTAAAGATGTTGAATGAGGAAATAGATTTCAATGAGGAAAGCGCAACCAAAATATTAGAAATTATAAAAAATATCTAATTTTCTAAAGTTTTTATTTAGAAGCTCCGCCAGCGCGTAACTCATAATTATCACGTAATATTGAATTAGCATTAAATGAAAGTATCATTCGTAGAAACGCGCGACGCCACTTTAAAACAATATTAAACCGCGGAGCATTGCATAACAGAAAGTTTCAATATTATCCTATCATGCTCATATTATGTATGATTAGTAGTAATTTCGGCGGTTTGAAAGCCATTTCCTGGTGTTAAAATCCATCGACCGATCGTTCCGCTCGTTACACAAAGCTTCGGTGCGCCGTATCTATGCATCTGGAAACGCGAGGAAAGTTCATGCATTACAAGCTGTTGAATTCGAGAGAGTACATTTGAGTAACGCCACTCGTAAAAATATTTTTCTGCTCACACGCGTACTGCACTAGACTTTCTCTCACACGCATCGACATTTATTGTTCGTAAGGCGTTGGTTAATTCTCAGTATAATTGCAAAGAAACTTTTTTTTTCACTGTTGCAGGACTCCGTAGCGTCGGCATCGGAAGTGGATGAAGATTACGACGATTCGGACATGTATATGGAGCCGGATGAATCCGCGATTTCGCAAACAGATCGCGCGGAAGAAAGCACGCAGAAGGGAAATCAGGACAAAGCGTCCGATGTTACCGATAAAAGCGACGAGAAATCATCCGAAGCGGAAGAACTGAAATCGGAAGTCACTAAAGATCAAGAGGCGAAGAACACGGAGCACACCGCGCAGTTCGATACGGCAGACAAAAACTTGAAGACCGATAGTCAGAATTTCTTCCCGTCCTTCGCGGAGCTCTTCGCGAACCACCGACTTCCGTTCGCGGAGCAGCAGCGGTATCGCCCTAACAGATTTTTGAATTATTTCCAACGTGACCGCGGCAATTATCAGGCTGCCGCCACAAAGGAGCAGGAATCTCTACTGGGTTCGGGCAACTTCGGCGTGATCCGCGGCGGTACTTATTATCCGGAGAATAAGGAGAACGACGAGTACTCGGTAGACGAGAGCCTCTACAATCCGTATTACAGTCGCGCACGTGCGCAATATTACAGAAATCCGAAACCGCAGCCGATTCGCAGCGGCGACTTCTTCGCGAACTTCCGCGACTTCGCCGACATCACGGCGCCGCCCAAGTCCAGCTTCTCGCATCTCTCCGTGGTGTACGCCAACAAGAACGGTAGCTCCACCGGACGCATCACGGAACCCAGAAACATCATCGAGACTCTGAGGATGTTGGAAGAAGAAGAGCGATCTGACGCAGAGGAGCTGTCCACTACGGAAGTGCCGAGGAAAAAGCAGAGTAAGGGCAAGCAGAAGCTCATGAAGATGAAGCAGTACGAGGAGGACAAAGCTAGGAGGTCACGCATGTCGATCGAGCCGCTGCTCGCTCTCAGCTGAGCGTGGACGAAAAAAAATCACAGAAGTGTACGTTAACGCGGACGCAAACCTCGGGATCGCTCCCAAACGCGGAATCTGGCCTTGAGATCAGAACCAAAGTCTGAAAAGCGCCGTCTGTCTACCATTCGAGGAGAATGTACTGAAAACGTGCAATAGAGACAGGAGGTTTGTATCTATGCATCTTTTGTGGACGATACTGTGCGCGCGTGTGAACTTTTCGAGCAATCCGAAAGGCTGGCGACTCGAGAATCGTACTTCGAAATTAACGCGTGACGTCGCTGGTTAGACTACGTTCAATTCCTAACATTGGAATTCCGACAGTCCGTTTATAATGATATGAAAATAAGCTTTGAGGTACGAAGACATCAATTCGTAGTCTTAAATTAAGCACCATTTGCCTTTAAAGTTTTTGTATCATTTCCTAAAACAATACGAAAATATTCGAAACAAGTAATTAGATTTTAAGATATTGTGGAAATTTTTCATGACGATAGGAAAATTATTGCACCAGAAACACAGGCGCTGCCATTCCCTGTTTATTCGACCAGATCCGAGACACATGTGACCTTAATGTTTAAACTGCTCTTAAAACTTAACAACCGCGTAAGTTTGAAAGATCCTAATTATAAGATATTTTTCGAGCCTACAATACGCTAATTAGGAAATTTCATGTAGCACTATATATTTCGCCGGTCGTGTAGACACTTTCTGGAGAACCGTTCCTGTTTCGGCAAGGCGCTCGCAAAGCTAACTAGCAACGATTATTCACGGAAACCTTTTACGTTGATTGAATTCACTTGCTCGTACGCGAACGTTACGCTCGAGTAAGCCGCGACGCCGGAATCGGTAACTCTTACCTACGACACTTGCGCTCGGGCTAAACTGAATTCCGCGAGGCTCGTGCGCGTGGCCTCGTTATCCTATAATTGTGCGAAACGCGAGGACATACGTCAGAATATGCATAAGATCTGTTACTTTTGGTTGCAATTGCTATTCATGATTCTTCTCCATTCAAAATGTAACCTTGTTCAGTTTAAGTACTGAAAAAAATGTAAAGCAAAAAGAGCAGGAAAAAAACTCAAACGCGATAAAAGTTTGCATCGAGTTGTCTTCCGAGACTACGGTATTATTATAAGTAAATTAAATAATATCAATTCGCTTTTTACGTCTATTTTAGTATTTTAGCTAAAGCGAAAACGGGATGACAATATTGCATTTAATCGTGAACTATTGTATTGAACATGCGCGGCTCGTACGCCAACGCGCAAAATTAATTTTAATTATATATATTATAGGTAAAGATCCGTATACAATCATTAAATTAATAAAGACTGTCCATTTTGTATATCCGCTACTGGTTATAAAAATTTGTTAATTACTTTTCTTATACGTGCTTGCAGTCTTAACGAGATTGCTAATCAGCCACGAAATTGATATATGAGAAGCGTTACTCAGTAAGGAAATATCTGAATATTTCTTGCCATTTGCAATTATTATGGAATAAAGAATATTCGAATTGGAATTCCCACAGAATTCCGCAGCGACTTTCACCCCCGACGAAATTCGCGGCGAAGGTTGCCGCGTTATCTAGCGAATAGAAACAGCAATTCTACATCGACGACGAGATCATGTCGCTCCTTCGCCGCAGATCTCGATTCATTGTTATTTCATTTATTGTTGATTATTTTAACTGTAATCTTATTAGGCTTATTGATCTGCCCTAAAAACATATTCAAAACATGTGCCCCGTTCAATCAACTTTGCTTCGAAAGAAAGAGAGAAGGGGCGCGATAAAAAAAATGAAATAAAGTATATTTTTCGAAAATATACGTTCCTGACCCATAATCCTACTTATATTAGGCCGGTGCACATTTCGAAGATAAGGCACAATTTTACAAGGTAGGTAATATCAATTTTAATACTTTTAAGAATAAAATTTTTGCACGAAATGTTCAATTTCAATTGTAAAACTATTGAAATATTCAGTTTGTAAACATACGGAAAGTACAAATAAATGTATAGATATAATAAATATTATAGCAAAATATCATTGCAATAGATTGGTAGAAAATACAATTCCAAAAGAGAAAGAGAAAGACATTTGCGTACATATTACTTATCCGCGCATTTCTTTAAGCACGCAACAAGTTTGCCGATGCCTTCGTGAATATCCAAGTAAGTAGCTGGTTCATACAACCAGGCTGGTGTACTGAAAACATTGTACTTTTTGCAACACGTTACTCCTTTAACATCCTTCATTTCTATTTTAGCACCCATATCTTTGACTTTCTTGATAACGTCCGCGTGTGGCCAATCGTCTTTGGGTGCTGCGAAGTAATACGAATGTTAGAAAACGAAGAGTGTCATCAGCAGAATTCACGATAATCAATAACTCACATTCCTTGCCGAGGGTTACTTTCACGCCTTTGAGTACTTTAGCGACAAGCACACTAGCGATGCACATAGTACCGATCGGCTTGTTCTCGCAGTAGAAATCCTCGATGAGTTTCTCTAAATCAGGTAAAACGCTGCAAGCTGCGCCTTTTTCGAGGAAATTGCTCCTTTACGAATAAAAAAGTAATTGAATATTTGTTTTGATTATTGTAGAGTTTTAACGTCACATATTTCCGCGACGTTCTTATTAATTGTCATACAACATACAAAGTGCGTGCAGCGCCGTAGCCGCCAGGTATGACGAGAGCGCCGTGTGTACAAGCTTCGCATTCGCATATAGGCTTTATGCATCCTCTTGCTAATCTGGCAGCTTCAACGAGAGCATTTCTAGAAGGACAGGTGGTATCCAGCTCTCTGGTAACATGATCGACCACACCAGAAATCTCAATGTCCGGGGCATAAAACACCGGCTTCATGTTTCTCTGGCGAATATGTATGGCCGTTGAAATGGCTTCGCAAATTTCAGTGCCATCGAACCGACCGCATCCGCACAGGATCTGAATTATTACATGTTTCATTTATCCTTACGTTTAATAATATTTTTCTTATCTTCTAATGTTATCCTCTTTTTTTTTTATAAGAGTTTCATATTTAAACAAAAATATTGGTACCGTAATTTCAGGCTTGGCACATACCGGTAGCTTACTCAAGTATAAAAGTTAGAAGTGATAATTTACAAGAAAGTATGTAATTTTTTTTACAAACGATACTGTATATTAGGGTAACCTCATAAAGATATTTTTCGCTGTCGCGCTATAAAGATGTATTATTACCGCAAAAATTTAATAGCTCAATAGTAACTACCGCAGGATTTTCTTTTGGTGTTTCTTTTACACAGAAAAACTTTAACCACTTTTCGCTGTAGGCGCCGACGAAACGTCGCGTTACGTCACGACGCGAAAGTATAGCATATCGACATCAATTTTAATTTGTATGCAAAATTATACGACGAAAAAATTTTAGTATCTAATGCACTATCAGGAATTCCAAGTGTGAATAAATATATCTTAAACGCCTTTTCCTCGTTAAGAATTAAACGATAATTATCACAGTTATCTAATGCTCACAGGTGCTAAATAAGTTTATAACGAAATAATATTATGCACGTGTGATATCAGTTTTTATTAAGAAAGTGTAATATTCGCGTTTTATGGATGTTATTTTTGTAGAAATCTACTGATCTCGTAGTTTCATAAAAACACATAATATTTTTAAATCAATACAATTTCTCTTATAGTTTCTATATTCTGAAATACGGCAGCAATTATCGAAATGCAATTAAATAAGTAAATTATACATAAATATAATAAGTAGAGGCTAAATAGAGAATATAGAAAAAATTAAAGACCATGTCGCACAAATAATTTTCATAAGTTTACATAGATATTTTTATCTTACAGATTTACCTCTTATATTTATATTAAATAATGAATAATATTATTATATAATATTATGATACCTACTACAGCTACGGATGTCGCTTCAGCATTTTTATCTTGTTTAGCTTTATTTATTTTTGCCAAAATCTGTGACGTGTGTAGGTTATTGGAAAGCACAGATATAAAGGAAGTGTCACATCGTAGAAAGGACACGATTCTTGATCGCAACATCTTTTGTGATAAAAAAATGGGGAGAAACTCGACGTAATTAATTAAACTTGTATAATTCAATGTATATAATTTCAATAAATAAATTTTAAAGAAATGTCTTTTGCGATGCGAGACTGCGATTTTGATTTGTTCTTATGATCCTTCAGAGAAAGGATGCAACCTTCCTTGTTAACCGTGCTGCGCAGTGAACGTAGTTCCACGTATTTTCGCGAGAGAGCAGGTTTATTCGGATTTCCCGTCAGTGCCCTCGATGTCTAACGGAGGAGAAGTCCCTTTCACTCCACCGATACGATGGTTTTACAATAACTACGGTCGGTTTAAGTCTCAGATATACGAGTCGCGCAACAGAAAAGAGGAACGGTATGAAAAAAGAGCGAGGATAAGAGATAGAGTGATGGAATTAAGAGAGGAAGCCCCGTGCAGCATATCCCACGCTTAAATAAACATTGGCAAGGTAAGCCGAACTTACTTTATGGCTCGTATAATCTTTATTGTACTCTAGGAGCAATTTTCGCTCAGACTATGAATACAAAACACATCAAGGGATGGGAGGTGAGATTTAACAACGCCACGAGGCAAAGAACGCGATTGTAAATCGTGTTGGCTCATTGAAATATAAAGTAGTTTGTAAATCTGACATTCTTTATCGGAGCATGTATGAAAGAACCTCAAAATTGTATGTAGAAGAAAAATTTTACCTGATTTTTATAATTTACACATTTCTATATAAATTAACTATCTGTCATGCATAAAATATATTTTAATTCAATTGTAAGGATAAATATTATTTTTGTATTGCTCTATTTTTGCTAATAACATCTCATTTTACATATTGAAATAAATAATGTAAATATTTGATTGTGAAAAATACAACTATATATATATATATATATATATATATGTATATATATATATATATATGTATCACACATAAAGCACTTTTGTGTATTACAATAAAAAGATAAGATCCGAAGACAATTGCTCAACAAAGTTTGTTTTCTCATATGTACTCCGATATCGCTGCATAATTTTCTGCAAGATTTGAAATCAAATTGCAATAAAGAACCGATAAAAAAAATCTAAATCACATCTGATTGTTCGTACCGCAGTGGAATCGACAACGACGCTTATCGCACCGCTCGTATGTCATATAACGTCGTTTTATTATAATTATCAGTGCGAGGTGAGCGTACCCCGGAGCGTTGTTTCTCCACGACACCATTTCTCTGATCCCCTTTCCGCGAGGAATACGAAGGCTCACGCATAATCTTATGTAAATCCCAAGCCGCCCTTATGCTTGCACGTCCTTACATCGAGGAAGAGCATCGTACATGGGTCGCTTCTCGGGTTACGCGGCGAAAGGGATGCGTAGATGACGGTTCAGGAACGCTCGCGCGCAGCGAAGCGAGGGCGCGGGGCTTATATGAATGTTAAAATAAGTTTGAAATTGTCGCGGACAAGTTCGGCCCCGTGGGAGGTACCCGTCGAGTAATTTCACGGCGCCGGCGGTTTCGACCCTTCGGCGAGTTCGCAACCAGTCGCGGATTCGTAGAAACTTCTGCGGCTTCACGGCGCGACTCCCGCCACCTTGGCCGATAGTTCGGCGATCATTTACTTTGACCCGAAAATGTTGTTATCTATCGCGTCATTCGCGACAGAAACGTTAAGATTCAGAAGGCTGCAATTCGCGAAATTTGTTTATATTTGTTCAGCCACGATGCTTTAAACAATTTCAAAGGATTGAAAGCTGCAAGTGCAAATAGCGCGGTCAATAAATTTATCTATAAAGATATCTCGTATTTAGCGTTAAGTGCGTTTGGATCTCCAGCAACGTGGAAACAAGTCATCGCCGTGAAGGCAGCTTTCTTCCGCTGATTTAACAAGCACTTGATAAGGGGTCGCTGAAAGAGACACGAGGATAGGAAAACTAACGAAGTTTCGCAGACGAAGCGTGGCACGGGAAGACAATACCGTCAGCGACTTGACGCGCGAGCTAAAGCCGTTTTGCCGCATGACAGCTTCGCGAGATCCTTGCCGGTACGTGCGTCTCGCTCGAACGAGGCACTTCCCCCGCGTCGTCGTTCTCGAAAAGTTTAAATCACGAATTCGCGGGGCCGCGGCGGCCCCCACGGTGTGGCGCGCACGGAGACGCGGATTCGGAGAGGGTCGTCAGAGAGTTCCACCGGGCGGGAGTCTGATGGGTAAATGCGATGTGATGCGAGTAACTGAGTGGCTAATTGAATGAGGTGCCTCCCAGGAGCGCCGATCCGTCGCGTGTCACACGTCAGAATTTGCGCAGCGGGAACGCAAAATTACGACGATTGTCGGTTGTGTGCCAATTATTGTCGCGCGGTATGATTGCCAGTGCGAGAAATTATGCGACCGAGCAATGCCGAAACCTGGCCGATACATGCGCGCCGGCGAATCGCAACCAGGCAGTTCGGCACGCCACGACATTTCTGCCGATCATTAATAATCCATTAACGATATTGGACGCTTCGATTTGCAGGAATATACGATAACAACGCGGCCGAGTGATGGCGGGGACGGGAGAAAAAAAGGAGATCGTTTGTCAATTTTCCGGATCGCTGCTGATTGGCCAAGCCGTGTCACGCGCTACGTTCATACTTTATGCGTGTAAAACTCTAGAGACGAGAGTGATATTAAATACGGAAGTAACGATCCGGAGATTGCGAATTTTATACCGCTGAAAAAAGAACAGATTTTACTCATCTGTCGTCGGGCTCGTTACTAATGCAAAGTTAAAAACTTTGGAACGGCGCTAATTTAATTTTAACCGGAATATGCATGTTCGACCGAATGAAATTATAACGAGACAATGCTATGCATTGTAATATACAACGGATGGATAATTGCAACGGCGTATTTTGGATAATTGCCGCGTAAGCGAATGAATAGTGGAGGCTTGTCGGCCTTTTCGGCTCTTTGGCGATTCTTGAACGAGGAAACGGAAAGGGAGGCGTCGTAAGTGGACGAAGGCTTACAGCATTGCGGATTGGTAAAAGAGGCTGCTTATACATTCTTGGCGCGAAGGCAATCGCGGGGATGGCGGGTGTTGGATGCCGTGCGAGAACCAGACAAGAGAACAATTACGCGCCGTCAGCCCCGTGACCGGCAGGATACCATGAGGTGAATCAAAACTAGGTGTGTGCCATCACCCCTGGGCCAGGTCTATCTTCGCGTACCGAGGCCACGTTCCGCGTCCCGAAGGAGAAAGATCGAATCTCGATCGGTAAGCGAGGTTCGCAGAATAGACGAGCGTCTGCAAAGAGCAATTTACGAGCGACAAGCGAAAAAATACAGAAACGTTAAAGAAATCTCTGTGAAAAATTTAAAGCACGTTCCTTCTGAGGAAAAAATTGCAACAAATTGTTGTTGATGTTTTTATACGAACTGCTATATGCACGGTTTCCGTGTATTTAATTCTATTTATTTTACACATAGTATATATATATATATATCTCTCTCTCACTCATATATGCAATGCAATTGATTAAATCAATATTCACATATTATTGAACGACAAATATATTCTTTTGATATATGTAGAATACTTTCTAAAGTTTCTGCAAATTTCTGAACAACCAGTTCGACGAATTATGAAAAATGAATAGCTGGTGATCCACGATTAATGACGCGTAGAGCCATTTATCGTGGAATCTCAGCGATGACAGGAGGATGTGGGCGATAATTTATGACTATGGATTGCTAGCACGTTGCATGACACTTTTTTTATGAAATAGCAATAACGAGATACTATTAAATTCTTATGTCAAGATATTTCATTTTTTTCATAAGATCTTTAATCCATTAAATAAGAATTCAATCTGTCATAATCAAACGTTTTCAATATTAATATATAAACT